AAGTAAATTAGACCATGCATGAGAAGAGTATAATCAATATTATATTTCGTATTAGCAAAGAATACATTAGACTCAATAACTGAGTGTTATAAGGGAAACAAGCGTGGTAAATCAAGAGAACACTTCTTGCATAAACATTTTAATCATTTTAAGTATTTTAATAGCAATCTAATTTAAGAATTGAACATGCATGAATAATAAGCATTATTATATTAGTATACACATGTGTAAAACGTTAAAAGGTGTGGATGCTATTACAATTATTTCCAGTGTTACTTTTGCCAACACAACTTAGTGAAAATTATAGAGAATAGAAATCAGTAAATTAGTTAACGTTCGCTGCGTGAGTATTAGAGTCGAGATATACGTATGTGACTATACTGAAGACTGGACTGGCCTTCAATTTCCGTTCTACCAACAGTTGTGGTCTTTTAGACGAGCTAGGGTGGACATGTTAAAGTGTCTTTCTAGGCTCCGTTTGAACCCATCAGGGTTTTCACAACATCTTATTTCAGGTGGTAGTTGGTTCCAAAGAGTGCAATATTTTATGGTGAAAAAGTTTGCCCTAATGGATTTTCTGTGGGTAGCCACCTTGACAAGGTAGTCGTGGTTTCGCAGCTGATATGATTTAATATTTTCCCAAAATATGGATGAGTTACTGTAGCAGTGTTTCCTAATGACTTTGAAGAGTAGAAATAGGTTGCACTTCACTCTCCTTAACCACAGAGGCTCTAATTTCAGACGTACACACCTGTCAACATATTCCACTTGTTGGTCGAACCCTATTATGCGTTTCGTGAGGAATCTCTGGACACTTTCGATTTTTTTCTGTCTACAGTCCTGAGGTTACTAAATAGGAGAGCACAATATTCAAGTTTGGGACGGATACATGTCCTATATATAGCTAATCTTGCTTCTTGGGTGTAGAAGTTACGCAGTACAAAGCCAGTAAGTCGTTTACAGTCAGATACAACCTTATTTGCATGATCGGAAAAGGATAAATCTGAGTATGTTATCCCGAGATCTGTGACTGTGTTCAGTTTTGAGAGGAGCTTACCGTACATATAAGGCACATTATCGGTTTCCAGCGTCCAAGGTGGGTTATACCGCACTTGTCTGGGTTGAAAGTCAGTTGCCACTTTTCGCTCCAATCGCCTAGATCATTTAAGTCTTGTTGGATCTTGCTTTCGACGCTCATATCACCGTACCCATAATCATATACTATCTTGAGATCATCTGCAAAAAGGTATGGCTTGCCATACTTGATTACAGAGACTATGTCATTTATAAATAAGAGGAATAGAATAGGGCCAAGAACACTACCTTGTATTACACCACTGGTTATCGGCTTTGAGGAAGACAACTGGTGGTTGATTTTGACTAATTGCTCTCTTTCTGTGAGAAAAGAACTTATCCATTTGTGAAGATTTCCGGTTATTCCGTAGGATTGGAGTTTTGTTAGGAGTCTGATATGTGGGACTTTATCGAAGGCCTTGCTAACGTCAAGAAACAATGTTGTTACCGAACGCCCATTATCAATGCTTTGTGTGATGTAGTCAAAATAATCTAAGTGGCAAGTAATGCACGACCTTCTACTTAAGAAACCGTATTGGGATGGGGATAGTAGGTCATTTGACAGCAAGTACTGAATGATTTGAGTCTTAACTATCTTTTCCATTACACGTGAAACTACAGACGTGATGTTGATGGGGCGGTAGTTGTTGATATCAGCTATAGGCCCGTATTTATGGATAGGTACAATATAAGACTTCTTCCAGCAGTTAGGGTATGTCCCATCGCTTAATGAAATTGAGTATAACTTGAGTAAGAGTAAACTCATGTCATTACCACCTTTTTTCAGCAGAACGGAAGATATACCGTCTGGGCCAGTAGTGTTACTAAGCTTAAGATTTGCGACAGCTTTATCGATCTCATGTGTGGTGAAAATTATGTCACTTAAACATTCGTCTGTTTTACGTGGGAAATCCACGACTTCATCGTTCTCTAAGGTGTATAATCTGGCGAAGTGCTTGCTAAACAGTTCACATATCGCCTCATTATTTTCGTAAGCAATGCCGTCTAAGTATATTATTTTCGGATAGGGTGTTTTGGAGTTCATCAACCTACTTTTAAAAAGTTTGGCTATTTCTCCTGAGTTATGCGGTGCATGAATGGCCTGCATTTCTTTGTTTCTGAGGCCTATATTTCTCAACTCTTCAATTCTACTGAGAAGGGACGTTATGGCAATTAATGACGATAAGTCATGATATCTGTAGTATTTTATTGAGTGCTTACGTAGACTTCTTCTAAACGATGTCGGAATATAATCACTTTGGGGGAATCTGAAGTTAAGAATCTTCTCGGGTGCAATGACGTCGTGAATTGAGTTAATATTCTGATAGAAGTTGTTAAGAATTGCATCTAAGGACTGGTTCGAAAAGTACGAGTCCCAATTAGAACATCTAATTAGGTGCTGATACAAGTCCCAGTCAGCATGTGTGTACAATCTCATAGGTATCTGGCCAGCTTCATCTCTGCGTTTTGTTTCAGGAAAGATGTCAAAAGAACAAACTACTATTCTATGGTCACTACCTGGAAATTCATGTCCAACATGTACGGTAGATGGCGTTATGTTGTTCGTGAAAATAAGGTCTAGGATATTTGCGGATCTAGTGGGTGAATTTATGTGTTGTGTCCACCCTCCTGTGACGATGGAATTTATGAGATTATCGTACCTTTGGGGTCCTCGGAGTGAAGACCATGATACTTCTGGCAAGTTGAAATCGCCTCCGATAATTTTATAACTGAAAGGAAGATTGGCTGTAACATTAAAGATATTGCTAAGCATATTATCATATTCCCTGCTGGATGAAGGGGGCCGGTACACACAACCCACAAGTATAGGTTTACTTCTGACAACTTTTATTTCGACCCAGATCGAGTCATTGAGTTGTGACAGAATTGGGTTACTAAACTGGGTTGCACACATGGATTGTTCACAGTAAATTAGTGTTCCACCCCCACGACCTGTCCGTCTGTCCCGAAAAAGGTTGTATTTATCAATCCTTAGGCTGTCATTGGAGATTTCACTTGTGCACCAGGCTTCGGTGATCATAATCAATGACGGTCTGCATATAGAAGCTATTGTACTTAGTGCTAAATGTTTGCTTAGAACTGATCTCGTATTTACTAGGATAATAGATAAACACTGGCTATGTGGTTTCAGTGAGCGGACAACATCTTGGTAAAATAATCCGTGAGTATCCTCTATATACATGTTATCAGACTCATTTACCAATATCTTTGGATCGTAGGAAGACTTCAGGTAGATTTTTGAGGTGGTAGTCAGGGATGGGCTTACGTTTGGATATGGTATGCAGTGAGAGACACCTGTGTGATAATCAGATATTAATATTTTAGAGATATTAGTATCCGCGTTTGGTGTCGACACTGTGTCAGCTATCTCCCGGGAAATATGCCTTGCCCTAGCTGTAGACTGTTCGCTATGCCAGCAAGGAATTGATCCGATATCATGCGTGCTATATGCATGATTCCAGGTGTTTCTGTTAACTGACGCTGGTGAAAATCCTGCCCTAAGGTATAACCGATATGTGTATTCGGTAATTTGTTGCCAGTATAAGAATGAAGTGTTGGTATCTGTTTCTGGTATTCATCAGACCATGGCAAGTTTTGTGCAGAAATCGGCACATGCTCCCCACTAGACACATAAGATATATGAATGGCTTGCTAAATGTGGTCTGTGGCCGATGTTTGGGGTATTTTCTATAACTTTCAGTAGACAGAATATTAGAAGTGGGCTGGTTGACAAGGGGTTTACGTAGTGGATGTGCAGAACAATACCTACTACCTTGCTGTGCTGTTTGTCTAGAATTAGGGATTCGATAAAATTGGCTTTCCACTTGGCACCAATTAGGCCTACCCCTAGGAGCTTCGTCTACCATATTTGACTTTCTCTTACAAAGAAGGCCTACAGGTGCTTTCGTCTCTTTCTTATCAAAGAGCTTTCTTGCTCCGGGTTTAGTATTTAATTTATTTACTTCTTTTTCCCTATCTTATGATCAACTGGCTGATGATGGCTAACAGGGCAGTCAGCACATGCTATGTAGGGTTTCTGTGGCTTGAACACCTCATGAGCTTTAGTTTTCTTAATGGAAATGGGACGTTTGTCATAACGCCTAGAAAACTTGCCAACTTGGGTGGCTACATTCGACTGGTGCTTCACAGAGTGTGGATTGTCAGACTGAGGAGTAACTGACTTATAAGGCAATGGTTGGACCACCAGTGGGATGGGTTTTGATGGTTTCGGTGTCTTGACTTTTGCGTCAGTGTGAAAACGATGTATTTCAACATTATTTCCCGTTGACTCATCTATGTCCACCATTTCAGTGTCTGCATCAATATCGTTATATAATGCTTGGCTAACATTAGCCACTACCTGCGAAAATGTCTGTTGCATGCCGTGATCAGATATTTCAATAGACGGAATAACGCACGGAACATCATCTACAGTTATCCTATTAGAGTTATCAGGGTTCACTGTTCCTGAGCGGCATCGCCTTTGGCATGGTGTTAAATCAGGTGCAACCCTAATGTTAGTGTATGGTGTTGAAGAGCCTATTTTCTTACCCGATTTCAGAAAATTCCTGGCTTCTTCGGTAGACCTAAACTTGAAAAGCACAGGACACGGGTGGTTTGCAGATTTCTTACGAAGACGCAAAACCTGACATTCTGTCAACGACATATTACAAGCCTTTAGACACGAATTCTTAAGTTTGGCAATCGGCTCTCTGTCTGGAATGTTATAGGCCAAGACGTTATGTGAAGACATAATCCTCTTAACAGCTTCTTCAGCCAAATAGTCAATTATGCGCTCGGATTTGATTAGTGATTCAAAACAGATGTTTTGTGATGGGTCACACAGTTGCGTGAGAGGCATAATGCTGTCAAACTTGCTCTGTAGTTCTGCTACAGAATCTTTAAGGCGGCCTGTTTGACATCTGGGCTACCTTTTTCCTGCATCTACATATTGCATCTAATAAGTCATGTTTTCATTCCTAATTTTAATAAAATATGATCACAAATCGCATAAAATACAGTAATTCATTCATTAAACGTTTTAAACCATATGACTTTCATGCAACTAATAATGCATCTAATAAATCTAAGAGAAAACATCACGCTGGCTGGCAGCGTGCACTTAAACAGACACCTTTATATCGTACAACCATTCCTGTTATTGTCACTTCAAACTGCCGTTCACTTCCCAACAAAATTATGCATCTCCAGTCTCTCTTATCATCTGATACTTATCACAATACGGCGATTGTTGCATTACAAGAAACATGGCTCCATGAACTCTATGATGACAATCTGGTTTCCCTAAATGGTTTTACATTGTTTAGACAAGATCGACTATGCTCCAGAAAGAAAAGAGGTGGAGGTGTTGCAACTTTCATTCATTCTCAATGGTCAACTTCAAATAACGTATGTTTTTCTTACTCTAATGACTTTATTGATTGTATAACGGTCAAATGCCGCCCGAAACACTTATCCAAATTCAAATACGTCTTCATCTCTAACATTTATGTTACTCCTGGCTGTTCTGCATCTGATCTATCTGATTTTGCTGATGAATTCACTGAATTCGCCGTTACACATCTTGAAAACTCTTTATCAGTTGTCACAGGAGATTTTAACTGCTGTGATTGTTCTTTCCTCGTATCATTAGGTCATGCCAATATTGTTAAATTCCCTACTCGACTTGATAAAACCCTTGACCTGGTGTTCATTAATGATGAGGAAATATATGAAGTACGCCGACGTGCTCCTATCATGAACTCAGATCATTGTATTATTCGGATATTACCTAAGATATACAGCAGATCTCACTTTAATATCTTCTCAAATCTGTCCAAGAAAACACAGCAAAGGTGTTACTCACAAGAAAATATGCTCAAACTAAGATGCATGCTAAATGACACTAACTGGGAACTTTTCAACGAACACAAACTGGATGATACTATTTCCAATTTGACTGACTATCTTAAATTCTGTCTTGATATATGCTGTCCAAAACAGATAATTTTCAAAAGAATGGATCGTTTTTCTTCCCCTCATCTCAAAAAACTTCGTAGAGAAAAAGAGAAGCTGTACAAGACAAAGAATAAATCTGGTCTTAAGAAGATAAACACCCAAATTAAATCTGAAATCAAGAGACTAAACAACATTTATAATCAAACAATACTATCTTGTAAAACCTCAGAAAACATATGGAAGCTTTTTAGAGAAATTACTGGTTGTGGTAAGCATAATAATTTTGCCTCTTCTATTGATGTAAATACTCTCAATAGATCTTTCATCCGCCCTCCAAATGTCCTTTCTGCCTTCAATTTAACTAATAACACGACCAGTGACTTTCATCGTTTCAATACTTCTGATGTTCTTAAATGTTTGAAATCTCTTAAACCTTCCCAGAGTCTAGGCCCTGATGGTATACCTGCCATTGTTTTAAAGAAATGTGCTGATATTTTAAGTAACCCACTTACAAGCATTTTCAATACTTCTTTTTCTAATAATAATGTACCTTCTCTGTGGAAAGATATTAAAATCATCCCTGTACCCAAGTCTGGTTCTGGAGATAGTGTTAAGTTTAGACCAATTGCCATTACCTCTCCTTTTTGAAACTGATGGAGAAATTACTGTTACAAAAACTCATTCCCTCCCTAAGCTTCTCAAACGATCCAAAGCAGTTTGCTTACAAACAGGGTAGAAGTACTTTGGATGCTGCTGCTGTGTTTCATCACAACATTGTATCCTCCTTAGACAAAGGGGCCAAGTATGTCCGTTGTACTTTCCTTGATTACACATCTGCTTTTGACTCTGTACCTAGAGGCCTTTTGTTAAACAAGCTTAGCCTTACACAAACTGAGTCCTGGGCTATCAACTGGCTGCACTCTTACTTCTCCAATAGGATGCAGTACACGGTATATAATGGTGTAGCTTCCTCTCCTTTGCTTACTGAAGCTGGTGTTCCTCAGGGTGCTGTTCTCTCGCCGTTTCTCTTTTCCTTCTTCTTACATGACTTACCTCTCTCAGACGAAATCAACTTCGTCAAATATGCAGATGACCTGACTGTTTCGCTTCCCGTTAAGTCTCAGTCAGACTGCTTCAAATTAAATAGCTTCCTGTCGGACATCAGTCAGTGGTCTAAAATAAATGGCCTAACGCTGAATCCCTCAAAATGCCAGACTGTCGACTTCTCCTTTAGGCATAAACGAGATCTACAAACACTAGTAAGCACTCATGATGTCTGTAGAATTGCGGGGACTATAATTGAAACAAAGTCTAATGCAAAATACCTCGGATTAGTTATATCTTCCGACCTTACTTGGTCATCTCATATCCAAATGATTTCCAAGAAAGTGTTTCGTCTAACCTACTACATTAAGAAACTCAGACTAACTGGAGTCCCTCAACCTCTGCTTACACAATTTGTCAACTCTCGTATCCTACCTATTCTACTTTACTGTTCCCCGTTAGTCTTTCCTGGGTTACTGAAAAAGGATTATACCATCCTGAGAAGGATGTTGAAGGTAGTTAGTAGGACTAGCGGTGTAAAACTCAGTCAGCTCGTCACAACATTAGTGGATAAGCATCTGAATACATGTGAGAAATGGTCTAAAACCATACTCTCTGACCCCCAACACCCCCTCTATTCCCAACTCTCTCCCTGCATCTCATCAGGTAGAACCAGAAATCAGTATAAAATAATATATGCTCGCACAACCAAGTATAGGAACTCAACGATACCATATTTGGCCCGTGTTCTAAGTGACAGAGACAATGTTAGGCGTGAAACCTATGACTTGCTTTGTTGTTAATAACATAATTTTGGCCCTTGTTATTTCCCCCTTACACTCTCTTATTTGTACTCTATAGTGAACAACCTTCTTAAACATACTTAGCTGCTTAAAATTATTATCATTGGCTTACTTGTTTTTACTTTATTCTATTCCTTCTTTTGTACATCTACTGGGTCCGACTATATTATCACTATGATTATTAAAAATTGTCCCGTCATTAACCATCATGTAACATTAGTTTTGTGGTTGTTCTTTGTTCGGCACTATTTAACTGACAATCTTGTTTGTTATTGCCACTATCACCATCTTAAAAATTTTGTATTATGCATGATTCCTCACACTACCACTACAAACAACCGCATTAGTACTGACAATAAAAGCAAACAACCTGAAATGTTTATCTTATGATTGCTTAGTGTTGTTCAATCAAATTAACTGATCATCTTGGCTATAAACATTTTTAAGAACATCTCATAATTTCCCGTATGATTATAGCTGTTACTGTTCACCACGCATACACATATCGTAGCTTCCACTAACCAATACTGAAATATTTTTTTCATTATTTGTGTTGATCTTCTTTTTTACTCGGTATTTTTATTTGCATTTTTTTGGTTATTTCTGTTTCTTTTTTTTGGTTTTTTTTATATATTTTATTTTTATTTTTTTATAATACTCCTTTTAAATGTACGATGAAATTAGATGCAATATTGTAGATATGTGCTGAAAATTCCACACTGTACCACAAGTACTGTTTCTGGAATAAAGCGAAATTGTTATGTTATGTTATGTTATGTACTGACTTCTGAAGTGTCAGTATATCATTTTTTCTACAAGCCGCATTCTCTGTCAATTCCTCCATGATATCAGATACCATAACTCTGGGTGTGGCTGGTGTAAAAAGTGTAGAATCGTCAACGGAGCTGAGGCCTTCAGATGGTTGACTAGTATTAAATCTCAGTCTCTTAACGGTACTTACACGTTTGATAGACTTAACCATTAAAGAACTGAGAAACTTCACAATTTCACAACTTCCGGAAAAAAAGTTTTGAGGATATAAAAATAAGATAGCTGTATTATCGAAGTATCAAAACAGCAACGATAAACAGATATATAGTGCAAAAATAAAAAGTCAGACTTTCCTTTACAGGGTTTGCTGTGAATAAAGTCCTGAGTTCCACGTGGTTAGATAGGGTATCCGAAGATTCTTGATGTAGATTTCACGAGTGAATGCTATATGTTGTTCCAGTTGATACAATACAATCCTTTTTGACTATGGATAGCTGGATAATGTGAGGAAAGCGGCTAATTTTCAAAGTATTAAGGAAAAATGATTCACGCAGAAACTGAACACCTGTAGCGCAACAGTATAAAAAATATATAGTCCCGTTATGCTAACTTTTATATTATGTGTGAACTAATATTACTGTACTGTGTAGAAATGTTTATCATGGAGTTCCAGTAATATTAAAATTTATAATTGTAGTTTGTTGTAACAACACGTTTAAAGAACTTAAAATATCTATGTAGGGTGAAAAAGAGGGTGTGAGGGTCAAACGTAGAAGTGCATTGTATTTTTGAGCAGTCTGGTGACTGAGGAGATGAACACTGGAAGTGTGTTTGCATCGCGCGCATTAGCTGGTAGTCTATTCCAAGTGACTGAGAACTTATTTAGGAAGAAGTTGTACCGCACGTAAGTCTGACAGTGCTCTATAGCAGCTAGGTTGTGATGATTTCTAAGATTGTAACTGATGACAGTGGTAGGTTCAGTTATTGGCTCCGAGGAGTGCAAGAGAAGATTTGCTAGCTTGTAGTAGAAGACAAGGTTTCATTTTGTCTAGGGGTGACTTGAATCTGTCGAGTGCTTTTTGCTCTTAAAAAACCTCAATTAAGAGTCACGTAAGCTTGAAAGTACTTCCAAAGCTTTTGATTTAACAGAACTTTCTAAGAAACATGCAGTCAGCAAGATATATCCTCTACTTACTTTACAACAAAGTGATCTACAATTATCCTACCACTATCTGTGAACCATTCAGTGAGTGGCTTGCGAATTTCCGTTTAGCAGTACACATTCCTAATGAAACTACACCCTTTACCAGCTTCTTTTCCAGGAGAGACGCGTCCACCAGTAAATTCATGCGGCAGGCAATTAATAGCTCTAGAAATTCCACTAGCACGGTACTGGTCGGTCTCTCATCAATAATCCTCAAATACAATAAGTGCGATAGCCCCTTTCTACTTCTTAAGTTCTTCGCTATATTTGTGGACATAAGCACTTTCCCTAATCAGCAGAAAACCGGGTTTATAACTCTGTACTACGAATCAGGTGATAAGATTAACGTTCGCAATCATAGACCTACTAGTATAACTCCAGTTATGGAGAGGTTGTTGAAAACCATCGACTTGGGGGAAGTCTCGTTACAAATGCTGGACAAGAACTTCTAGAAGAAAGGTCAATGGACAACATACCGAACGATGACATGAAAATCTTCATGGGAGATATGAACGCAGGTCAAATTGGAGAACTGCTCGTCGCGAGTCGAGAGGCTCTTGCTCCAGGAAATGAATGAGAACAGAGGATTATTTTCAGACTTCTGCGCTTACATTGATTTGGTGATTGGAGGCAGTGTGTACAAGCACAAGGATATATACAAGGCCAGCGACATGGATTTCGCCTAACAGACTCACCACAAACCAGATAGACTTCATATCAGTGCTGCTCAAGGAAGTGGAGACGCAACTAGCCTGCTGGACACAAAGCCGAGAGGGGGAGCAGATGTGGAGTCAGACCATCTGCCAGGTCAAGGAATCTTCAAGGTGGAGCTAAAGGCCTTCAGAACAACTGTAGATAGGCCGCTGTAAATGAAAAAGAAAATTCAAAAACTGGAGGACAAAGCTACAAGGAGTGCCCTCACCACAGATATCAGAGCAGGGTCTGAGATACTACGTGGCATTAGAGAGGAAGCCCGTGTGGAAGAACATTGGAACTCTCTGAAGGCGATGTTGAGGGAAAGATTTGCAAGTGTTCCAGGAAAAAAGAAGAGACAAGACAAGGAATGGTTGTCAACGGATACCTGGAAGCTAATCGGGGATAGGAGGATGGCGAAAGTGAAGATGACTCAACGCAAAGATGTTCAGACTTTCAACACAAACATGAAGTCATTCAGCTCCTCTAAATGGGTCAGAAACTTGGTCAGCTTGTCATGAAAAGGATTTCCAACAGGTTTCAGATTTTCTTCAGTAGCTACCATCGCTCAACACTGAAGATTTAATGGCCATAAAGAATAAGTAGCAAGAAACAGTGGGAATAAACCAACCAGGAGCTGGCTGCTCAACAAATACGTGGGAGAGAGTGGAGATGGATCGGGCATACACTGAAGAGAGCAGAATGACGTCGCGCAATGCAGGCCATTGCTCGAGTTGAATCTGAATAGGAAGC